CCCCGCACCCCAGCCCGCGCTGCTTCGGAGCGGACAATCATCCCGCCTGGCGTTTCCTCCGGTAGGCCGAGGTGCCCTGCAGATGAGCTAGACGGCGGGTTCTGGAAAGTCACCGGTGGCAGGTGGTTCCCCACACGGGGCGGGGGGGGGCGCTTCGGGGGCACGCGCAGCCCCCGGGGCCGGGGCGGGGGACCCCGCGCACGAGCACCGGGGAGCCCGAACCCCCGAGTCCGCAGACAGGACCCGGACTCCGCCACTCCCCCTGTGTTTTACTTAGAGGACTCTTTCGCAGTATACCTAACTGTACTCAAGTTAAAAAGGTAACATAACTGAAATACTTAGGTTTTCTGTTTCCACTTTCTAGACCTAGGCTGGCTAGCTAGACAGGTTTGGAGCCCCAGCTCTTAGTTCCTTGTGATGTTTATTATCATCCGATGCTAGGAGACATAGACGTGTGGGTGAAGCCATAGAGCATATTCGCTTGCAAATCCTTGAGCCAGGGAATCTCACAAAAGGGCCAGAAATTTAAAAAAAAAAAAAAAAACTAAAAATTTAAAAAAAAAAAAAAAGGTTGTGGGTCACGTTGCATCTGCCATGAGACGTCTGAGCGGAGTTTTTCACCGAGGGTATTGGCAATAAAACTCTCTGTTGCAGCTCTTTTCCAAGCGGTGTACATACTTTTTTCCTGTGATTATGTAGAGCCTTGGAATGGCACCTTTTAACTAACCCATCTGTGTCTGGTTTTCAATGGTTGTTCTGTTGTTTTTTTTTTATATCTATATCTATCTATCTATCTATATATATATTCAGATGTATATATGGTGCTCACTTTAGGATCAGCAGTGTTGGCGTTGATGGTGCGGAGCCTTATTAGTGGTGTGTGGTTGGGGGTGGGCCTTGCGGCCCACGGGTGTCTGTCTCTTGAGCGGTGTCTTCACTCAGCTGTCGGTAAGTGGATGGCCGCATGTGTTGTATGTCATCGTGTGTCGTCACGTGCAGAGGGAAGGGGCAAAGAAACCCGCTGCGTTAATATCGGACCAAATGACTTCCTTGCTCCAAACACTTCCTTGTGACCCCCTCCCCCTTTAACCTGTCCTCAGAAGTTGCATAATTAACAGTAGTGTATTAAAATATTGTGGAGGGGGGGGCGGGGAAAAACAGTCTTGTATTTTTCTGTAGGTGTGTGTATATATATATATGTGTATATATATATTAAAAAAAATTATGTACTTCTGGCAATTCTCTGTGTATTTAAAAGATATGTGACAATCTCAACACGGATTTTTACCAAGAGCCGTGAGGATGAATGGAAGGTTATCCCTGCTGAGTCGAGAGTTAAAGGGTTAAAGAGGGTGCGGAATTCTCAGCTGATCAATTGCTTCCAATTCTCTTTGATTTCTTTGTTCCCCTCATTGTGTAAACCTTGGCAGGTATGTGACAAATGGGGAAATCATCCAAATAATAAAGTGACATATTGGTGTTCAGCAATACAACTCGGGTCTCCCCTGTTGTGTTTCTTGTCGTGAAATGCAGTGTTTGTTATACAATGGCTACCCAGCCAGAGCCCCGCGCCGCAGGCCCTGCTCACCACAAAACCATCCTGACCTTTCTTCCTTTCCATGTACCAGTGCCACTACCAGGTGGGCAGGGTTTGCTTTCCACTTCCTTTCTAGGCTTCTCTGCAGGGCTTCCTCTAAAACCACCCAATTAGAAGAAACTACAGCAGTGTTCTCTGTCTCTGCTACACTCTTCTGCTGGTTGCTGTCTTTCCCTAATACAAATAAAGAAAACTAGAGCAATCAGAGCCTCTGTAGGTCTGTCCTTCCTTCCTTCCTTCCTTCCTTCCTTCCTTCCTTCCTTCCTTCCTTCCTTCCTTCCCTTCCTCCTGTCTTGAACTTCGCTACCCTCACCTTTTATGAGTGTTACCACAATCCTTTTTTACCTCTCCCCTCCCCCTAGAGACACCATTATCACACCCAAGCCTTTCTCCTCGTTTTCTCCTTCCTTCCTTCCCATCAGCTTAGTCCACTCACTCCTCCAGGATCAGATTTTCACTCTTGGAAAATGTCCCTTCTTCCTTGTCCTGCTTATTCTAACTGGTGGCTTGTCCTTCCCCAACCTCTCCGAATGGAACTGATCCAGGGTTCTGTATTTGGCCTCTTGATGCTCACAGAACTCTCCAGAGTACGATTACCTTGCGTCTCTCCCTGGAACCAGCTACCTGTTTGGCCTTCCTTCTTTTCAAAGAATCTGAACAGCCGGGTGCTGGTGGCTCACGCCTGTAATCCTAGCTACTCAGGAGGCTGAGATTTGAGGATCGCGGTTCAAAGCCAGCCCGGGCAGGAAAGACCATGAGACTCCTATCTCCAATAAACCACCAGAAAACCGGAAGTGGTGCTGTGGCTCAAGTGGTAGAGCACTCGCCTTGAGCTGAAGAGCTGAGGGACAGCGCCCAGGCCCAGAGTTCAAGCCCCACGACCGACAAAAAAAAAAAAAGAATCTGAACATTTTTTCCTTTTTTTTTTTTTGGTCTGAGACTGGGACTTGAACTCGGTACCTGATGCTTTTGCTCATCGTGTAACACTCTACCATCGACTGAGCCATGTCTCCAGCCCTCCACCACCCCCCTTATTTTTGTTGTTGCCAGTCCTGGGGCTTGAGCTCAGGGTCTGCTTTCTCTCAGCTTTTCTTCTCAAGGCTAGTGCTCAACCACTTGAGCCACAGCTCCATTTCTTGCTTTTTTCCCTCCCCCAGTAGTTAATTGGCAGTAAGAGTCGCATGAACTTTCCTGCCTGGTCTGGCTTCAAACCATGATCCTCAGATCTCAGCCTCCTGAGTAGTGACCATCTCCACTTTTACAAGTTGGAAAGTCTTTTCTCCTGAAATCCTCCTACCCCTCAAGGTTCATGTCACTTGATAGCTACTCCA